CAAGTTTCTTGCTGTCATAATTTTGACATACACGCTGGCTAGGAGGCATTCCACGATTTTCGCCAAGTTAGGCATTTTACACCAACAATGATAAAATCCTTTTTCCTTTCTGTAAGGAGGGTTTGTATCTTTCGTTCTTTTCTTTGCTGGTTTGAAAAGCCTCGTGAGGGACATCGTTCTCGGTGTCTTTGGCTGTCTCCACATTTTCACGACTCGTCTGCTTTAGTGGCACCGCATGGTTGAGGGGGTGAAATATGCTCAAAGGTATCACGCACTGCTCAAGTGCCTTGAGGTACATCTCTTGGCTGTAGCCGATGGTTTTCCTCGGTTGAGGATCCTCACATGGCGTGTATATATCCAGCGAAGGTATAATTGCTTTGCTCAAGCAGATGAACTAGCTATTTTATATCCAAATTTGAAAGATCGATCATCTCTAAACTTATAGGGAAAACGCCAATGTGTCGATAAGATGACAAACGAATGAATGCTAGCGTAGCAATATAGGTACATCGCCCTCTTGCCACCGGGTATATCCACCATAAGACAATTTCTTGGTGTCATTTCGCTTGAACAGAACACCATGATCAATACAGCGCCCCGAAACACTTTTGATGCTGGATCCCGCTATTTTGTATCTGTGGTGTTTCTCGTGGGTTCGCGAACGGCAATCTCATCCTATCTTCTTCAATCATAGTACACTGGATATTATCCATGAGGCTCACAGTGTTGGAAGGCATCTTGACTAGAGTAGTTGGTAGGGTTGAATATATCAAATAAAGACATAAAGAAAAGAATACATTGAAGAAAGAATATATAAAACTGGGGGGTGGATAAAGGGAAGAAGAGAAAGGAAAGAAAGTAAAAGGGGAAAACCGGCATTAAATATAGTAAACCTGCGAGCATATGAGAGTTTGTCATTCTAAATTTATTCATAGATGTAACTATTACAAATAATACGATTAATAATCAAAGTGTAGGCGTGACAGAGAGAATATAAAGCGGCAAAACAAGAGGGCAAAGTCAGCATGTATACAAAGAAAATGTGTCCCAGCGAACTTGAAAGATGATATTTGCGTGCTTATAAAATACAGGTTAGGACATAGTTGTTGTATGACTCCTAGCAGAGTTCAATACTGTCAGAATACACAACTTGTACTAGTAGAGAGCAAATTACATGTCATTGAAGTGTAATGTCCAGCTGTGTTTAGCAAAAGAAAGAGGAGTGTTGAATTCAAGAGATGAGTGTCCAGGAACTGGCTAGATCCCAGTGCCATTAGCCCAATTGCAAGCAGCCAGATCTTTCCTCCACACCCTGTTATCTACGTACATCATAAAACGAAGGAATGCTTATCCGACCATGCTTCCTACGCATGGAAGTCGCACTGGCTTAAGTCACAGTTCATTGCCCTGCGAACGCAGATCCCGCCAAATACCGAAATAAGCCGCCATCTAAGCGATAGGCAGGCGAGGGATGAGCGCTAATAGTGTTCGGAGATCAAGGGATGAGCGCACCATAATGGAGGGAGCCCGGTAAGAGACTGCCCCTTCTCCTCCGAAGCAATCGTGAGCTTCTTGACCTTATTGTCTGCGTGAGTGAGTTTCTTGATCTACTCCTTGACGGCGCGTACGAGCATCACACAGTCATTAGAAGAGGTCTCCATAGCAAGGGTCAATCGAGCCACTTGCTAAACATCTACCGGGACCTATGACTCATCAGCAAGCCCCCAAAAACCACCAAAATGGCGACTAGCAACTCACAGGAACGCAATTTTGCTTTACTTCAGCATAATTGGCGTAATTCTGCACATGGCGGGTGTCTGGCACACATGGTTGGAGTGACTTCTCAGCTGAAGAAAGCATCGCTGGCAGCACCTAGCCGAGAGGTGGTGTGGTGGGCGGAGGGTACCAGCGCTTATCTCAACAGAACCAGGACGAGTGCAAAGGCCCGCAAGAGCCTACACTATTAGAAGGATGTGAAATAAATAATCTCGGCAAGTGTGATTACCATTTTAGACCTGACATCTCCCGCTCAATAGGTGTTGCGATGAGCGACTTCTGTTGTAGAACGAAACATTCATTTCTGTGAGACCCAGAAGGAGAAAGACAATGCCTTGTGCTGATGTGGATCCGTGACCTTAAACGTTCTGTTCTGTATGCGCTTGTCGATCAGCACTCGGAATGCTACAGTCTATTGCAATCCCCTAACCGAACGGACGAATTTGGGCCAAACCCCGAGGATTAGGCAGACATCGCGCTTCGATGTAGCCCACTGCCTGAGCTTAGCAAGATGCGATTAGTGCTCGAGGCTGGGGGGGTATTTCAATGATCAATCATTCCCGGGTTTGATCGTCTAATTCGCGCTCCCTGTATAATATAATGGTTAGTTCATGATAGCATCGACATGCTTATAGAAGGGCCAAGGTTTGAGACTGAACTTACAGGCTGTAGCTTTGGATTCAGGTTCCTTTGCAGCTTGCCGGAGGGTATCCGTATATGCTCGCAATTTACGGGCTCGAGCGACTGCAATTATAGCGAGTGGTTGGCAGAGTCGAATATATCAAAGAAAAACTCGCAGAGGGAAGTTGCATGGTTATCATCTAGATTACCACTCAGGGTCAGCCACTTCACGCTCTCTTCATAAAATAGAGGTTAGTTCATGATCGTTTCGGCATACTTGATAGAAGGGTCAAAATTGGAGACTGGACTTACAGCTGCGGCTAGCTTCATCCTGGATTCGTCAATTATAGCACAGTGGGTGACTTATATGTACTAACATTAGGCATATTGAATGTTATTATGGGAAATATGTGATAATAATTATGAAGGTGCGGATGTTGGTAAAAGCTTGAGACGATTTGCGAAGACGGGGAGAGGAAGAGGAATAAGGAAAGCAGAAGGGGAAAGAGATCATTAAATATAGCAAACGCGCGATTATATGAGGACTGGAGTCCTACCTAGGCACCTAGGTTTACCTCATTTATAAGCCTGATATTTCTCGGTGAACATAGATGGGTGACCGTCCTCCATAATCTCCATTTGTAGGGGAAATGAGGAGGTCAGTATATAATTAATTAAGAAAATCTATTCTCATCGGCTCCTAATATAACTTATACAAGACAAACATGGCAAAGAAAGGTGTAACAACTGCCCATTATCTGATAGAAAACTTTTGGAATGTGCTAAGACTAAAAGACTCCAAAGAATACCACCTTCAGTCAGACCAACTTCACACATGTGACTGATTGTATAAATAAGGATCTATCCAATTCTCGAATCCTTCCTTCTTTACACTCTAAATCCTACGACTCCTCCCATGGGCACCTTTCACCGGGTGCTACTCATCAAGAGTGGATATATCGACTACCGAGTAGTTCACCTAGGAGCACAGCTCACGAGTGCTGCTAATCGCGCCAATCCATACCGGGATTAAGGGGAACGAACCATGCGCGTGGACAAGAACAGGCTCGCAGCAGAAGTCCTTGTCGCCCGATCTAACCCACATCCCCCATCTGACACTCATTTTGAAGAGGTGCCAACTGTACGAGGACGAAGGACCAACCACCCTCATCACCCTATGGCCACCCAACCAACCACTTCCATACTTCTAACCTACAACTATACATATACTTTCTACAAATAAGATGATACATACGACCATAGGGTGTGGAAAACAGGGCTTCCCGTCC